AAGAAAAATTGAAGCAACTTTTTTAGGAAGCAGTTTGGCAGCACTGCCCAAGTCCTAAATACTATACTTATCTTTGACTAAATCTGCTTTGGAATCTATCCTCAGGAAAGAAAGTGTTTAAAATTGGAGACAAAGGGGCTCCTGGGTGGCTCAGTCGGTTAAGCGTCTGCCTTCAGTTCAGGTCACCATCCCGGGGTCCTCGGATTGAGCCCAATGTCCGTACAGGCACCGTGCTCAGCGGGGAGCCTGCTTCTCCCTCTCCTTCTCCCACTGCCCCTCCCCCTCACTCATGCTGTCTCTCTCTCTCAAAATAAATAAATGAAATCTTTTAAAATAAATAAATAAAATTGGAAACAAAAGTGTCCAATAGTCTGTCAACCCACATATTTCAACTGTAATAGAGAAATTGGTAGAACATCACATATGGAAAACAAACACTGGAAGGAAATGCAAAAATGTGGTGTCTTTATAAAGGACTTATAGGAGTAATCTTTTTTTTTTCTGCTTAATCTTTGTGTTGAGTCCATATAGTCTATATGACATGTAAATTAATTTCCCAGCCAGAGAAAGATAAAATAAACTCCATTTGAAAACTTTTAAAGAGGAGCCCTGCCCAGCTTCCCAACATGCCCTTCCTGGCCACACTTGTGTAGATAGTTGCCAACGCCATCAATGGGGAGAAAGAGTTACAGTTCAATACCGTTAAAAAAGTAAGAAGAACAAAACACAGGGAAGAACAGCCCATTGCAAAAGGGAACGTGAAGAAGGTATGAGAACATAATCTGTCTGCACCAGAACAAAGTATGGACGCTGTCAGATTCTGGACTGGGCGCAGGAGACCAGTCTAGGTGACACCCCCACCCACCCCCACCGCTCTCCTATTGCTCCACCCACCTCCCTCTACACTCAGGCCACTGTGGGAACTGCTGCCCAAAGGTGCACAGCAAAGAGAGAGAGAAACCATGGGAGGAAGCCACCTCCACCCATCAGGGTGACCTGGAACTCTGGTCTCCAGAATAGGATCCTTAGTCCACGTCTGGCAGTTGGCTCCCGAATGTTATGGGCTTTGAAGAGACTTGCCGTATAAGTCATGAGCCAGAAAAGGCCTAAATCAAATGTGTGTTCGCTGATCCCATCCGGGCAGCTAAGTGCTGTCTCCTACAAAATGTGATGCCTGGAAGCCATGGCTGCTATTGTAATGCTTGATGATAAAGATCAAGCTTTCATTTTCCTGGAGCTTCAGTGAGTGCTGGTAAATTATTTATCCCAGTTGGGTTACATGATTTCATTTCAGCGTGTCAGTGTTTATCCTGGAGGCCCATTCTAATTGTACAGTTTGGGGGCATTTTCCTATTTTCTCCTTGGGGCATCTTGTAGCACCCTTTCTCTACCTCCAATTACAACTGTTGCTGTGCTGATTTAGTGTCGTCTTTGCTACCGGGTACTCTTCTGCAAGATGAATGAATTTCATTCCATCTTTAAATATTTATGTTTCTTCATGACCTAATATATCATTGTGGTTATGGGTAATTTTTTTCCCTAACTGCAGAAAATACACCATCAGTTACCTGTCGATTTTGTTTAATAACTCAGCTTTTCAGTTCTGGGACAGTGTTCATCTGAGGCTCTAGAGGGCTCTTTTAGTCTCCGAGTCCACTTCAGAGTGTCATTCTGGGATTTATAAAGGTCTTCATTGCACAGAGGATATTGAAACGTTAAGGACTTAAGTGGCTCACCCTTTATCACTTACCACACTGGAGGATCCAGGACGAGAAATCCAGGCATCTTTGTTTTGTTGTTTGCTCCCAGCATGGAACAGTGGTCTCTGTAGAAAACCAGCCAGTATCCCTGGAAACAATTCATCAGATTTTTCAAAAGAAATCCAATTTCATCTGGTTAGATGGGCTCGATGTTACTTCTTAAGATAAATGATGAAAATACCAACATCATAATACAAAGAAACCCAATTCTTTTGGTTTAATCTCAGTGAAAAGCATAACCATCCACTTACTGCTTCTGTCTCCTTCCCTAATGGTTTTAGGTCCTTGGCTCAAGGAGATGGGAATGGTTCTGTAACTCTTCCCACACCAGAGAGACTCTGGGTCAGAGACCCAGGTGGTTCGGGACCTTTGGGAATCACAGTAGCTGGGGTGGGTCCTGAGGAATCTGCACTTTTCATAAGCCCCCCAAGCACTTTCTAGCTGGAGAACCACCAGCCGAGAACTGCAGCCATCATGTCCCTTCTAGCTTTGAAAGAATCATGAGCCCCCCAGTTCTCTCTCATTACATTAGTTAAGTCTAGATTTGAACATGTACTCTTTTCGAGCGAGTTTTAAAAGGTCTTCTTAGGTAGTTCCCTAAATGGGCAGCTCTCTCCCTCACCTGTGCATCCGAGGGAAACCAAATTAGATGATGCAGGGGGCCCCATTTCTCAAAACAGGGGCTGGTATCAGGGAGGGAGCCAAGGTGTGCCAAGGGACACGTGAAGCCATCAGATAAATATGATGCATCTTCCTACAGCATCAGGTTTTTCTTAAAATTTGTATTTTTAAGTTACAACAGATGTATTGTGGAGTAAGGATAGTTCACATGGGTTTTATGCTGAACATGAAGCTTCAGAAAAGTTCCTGACTGTATCTGCTACTGGGCTCCCAGAAGTCTGCAGGCTGGAGGCTAATTTGCCTCTTCTATTAGAAGTACCTCTGTCAACATCAAGGTTACCTTTGACCAGTGATTTCTAAATATGTGGTTCCAGGAAGTTAAAGTGAACACTCACTTACAGAAAACTAGCCCCAAGAGGACCCTCTACACAAGGACGTTGACCCTTTTTGCTGCCTGGAGTCACTCATAAACTTGCCAATATAAGATGAGCACTCATTATTCCTGCCACTATTTAGGAAATATTTGTGAAAGCGTATTCTTTTTTTTTTTTTAAGAATACGTTAATTAAGAAAGGAGGTTTAGCAGGGCAGGAAAAGGAACTAGCCATGTGAAAAGACACTAATGCCCTTACTGACCATATTCCCATTGTAACAACAATTTATAAAATATTCCTGAAATTGAGCTCCCAGAATATATTCCTTACTACAAGGATAGCTTACTTCTCACAGAGGATGTTCTTTTTATCAAGATGTTCCTGACAAACAAGAAACAAATGCAAGACCCAAGTCCAATGATCCTGGTAGGTCCGATTTATCCCTTCGTCTCTGGAGTTGCCTTGGGCCTTCTGCCTTGGTCTGCCCCTGCATTGAGGCAGAGCTGCCTTTCCTGTCAGGGAGAGAGAAGGAAGTAAACTGTGCCTGGGAAGGCTTCTCTGTTCTTTGCCTAACCAGCTGTCATAGCATCGCTTGGCCCAGAGCCTGTACTCAACTTTACCTCCTGCGTAATTTGTAGTAAACGTGCAAGTCTGAGCCTCAGTGCAGACTCCGTGAGGGATAGTGGTGGCATGATGTTGGTTTTAGGAAGGGTAAATGGCTGCCTTCTCCTTTCCTGACTCCTACCTCCCCCATCTTCTCTCTGCATTGGAGACTCACTGTAATGCCTGTTTCTCTTATGGGTACTACTCTTCTCTCCTCCACCCAGGAAAATGGCCTTGCAGCCAAATGGATCTCAAGTCTGCAACTTTTTGCGACAATTATGGCTAATCCCCTGCCCCCCCAGACCATTCTGTGTACCACTGTCACCTTAATTTTCCAGAAGCACAACTTGGATGGTGCTTCTGTTCTCAACAGAACCTTGGGGGGTAAGGGAGTGAGGTCCTTTACTGACTTGACTAAGTCTAATGTTCTTTATTAATTTAACTAGCCTGATGTCAAACAGTCTGCCTTCTGGCTTCAACTGCCTTTTCCCACAACTTTGCTGTCCACCTACACTCCCCAGGCTAACCAGATTCCTCTTCCCAGGAGGAGTCTTTGCTTCTGCTCTTCTCTTTTCCCTTAATCTAGAATTTCCTCCCTGGGAGCCCTGCCTGACAATATTGTACCCCATATGAGGTCTTCCTTGATTCTTCACCTTCCCCTCAGCATGGTGGGATTTCTCCTTCCTCTGCTATAATTTTATAACATTTATACTTCCTTCATGTCACATGGACCATTATTCTTGTCTGTATCTGTGAAGAAGGAGAGTGAGAAACTTGGGTGCATATCCTGCCACAGCCCCTCACTTCTTTGGGATGCTAAACAAGTCCTGTAACTTGGCCATGCTTCAGTTTCCTTATCTGAAAAAAGTGACTAATAGCTCCCTAGGTGTAGTGAGGGTTAAATGACACAGTACATGAAAATGAACTTCGTCAACAGAAGTGCAATCATTATTTCCCTACTTTTCATTATCTTTCCAATTTATCTCTGAGCTATTTGAGGAGAGAGGCCCTGTCTTGCTCATCATTATATACTTACGTTACTATCATTACATTCCTGTTAATTATTACTATTTCACATAATAATAGCTAATATTTATGGAGCATGTATGTTTGTCGGGCGCCATTCCAAGTGCTTTATATGGATGAATTCTTCCAATAACCCTAAGAGGTAGGTACTATTATTATCCCACCTTATGGAGGAGAAAACCATACATTTCACAGAGCCTCCAGCGAATAAATAAATGAATGAGGGATTGAATAAGACAAAAACAGCTTTCGCAGTGCCTGCCAGATGATTATTTCTCTCCTTCCTGGTTCTGCCCCTACTTCTTCTTCTTTGGATCTTCCTAGGTGAATATAACATTAGGGCAAATCTTGAGTGAACGGAGACCCTGAAAGATGTGAGTTCTCCCGGAACCTTCATTTAGACTTATTCTCATGAAGAAAGCTCCACTGAGCTCCAAGAGGACAGAGATCGTGTTTGTCTTGTTCTCCATTATATTCATAGGACCTAGAACAATGTCTAGTGATCGACAAATGCTTATGGAATAAGTAATCTATAAACAGCATATTCATCACCACTGAAACCACATAAATGGCTGACAATGGAGATGGTGAACAGTGTCCCCTGTTTCTTCCTCAGGCAATATTACGAGATGTTATACAACACGGCTGATGAACTCCTGAACCTGGTGGTGGACCAGGGCGTGAAGTACACAGAGCTAGAGTACATCCACGCCCTGACCTTGCTACACCGCAGCCAGACTGGGGTGGGAGACCAGACCACCCAGAACATGAGGCTGCAGCGGCTCAAGGAGATCATTTGCGAGCAGGCTGCCATCAAGCAAGCCACCAAGGATAAGAAAATAACGACGGTTTAATCGAGCACACTGCTGGAGGTGGGGGGTGGGGGCGCTATTTTTGTTTACTCAGTCACACTTGCTTCTTTCTCCGGTATGTTATTTGGTATATTTGAAGCAGACTTGCTTTTCTCTGCACTGATACTTTAGTGGAGAGAAGACAAGACGATGTATTTTTTTTCTGTCTCTTTACTTTGGGCTTTTCATATAAACTGTAACGGGAGTTTGCAGTACAGAATGTTTTGATTTAACGTCTACTCTAATGCAGTCAGTTCCAAAGGGTTGAGTGACTAGGGTGGGATGGGAGGAAGGTTGTATCAAATTGGACTCTGAAAAAATGAATGCATAAATTACAACTACCCAACAATCTTTAGAAAGCAGGCTGCTCCCTCAGTTTTAGTCCCTTCTTAAAACACTTCATAGGGTTCTCTTACACAAAGAGTAGATCTTTACTCTCTTGACCCTGTCAGTTTACAATACAGTGAAATAAGCATATGTGCATTGCTTTTTATCTCTGTTGCCAACATCAAATCAGTGGCTTCTCAGCTGGCTGTAATTTTCAACAAGTTTTCCTAACCAAAACAGGACCTCTTCAGGGCTACGGGGAAAAGTCCTCTTATCCCAGTCCCTGGGCGAGTTTTGTGTGCGGCCGTTTGTACACAGAATATAGTCAGTGTATTGCCTTTTCGTCTTTACTTCTGCTGCATCAAAACCAAGAGCCTTCAAATTAATCACAAAAATGGAAGAATGAAAGGCAGTCCACCCTCCTCTTGATCTTTTAACCTCTACTTTCCAAGAGTAAATAATGGGTAGAGAACTTTTACTCTCAGTTAAACATTGTTTGGATGTGAGTGATTTTTAGATGCTTACTTGCTCTCGATGTGAGCCCCTAGGTCTTTCTCACCTTAGAAAGATGCCCTGGTCCACTCAGCTGAGTGCACGGAAGATGGGACAGCGTGACATTCGACCTCTGTGCACCCACCAGCGGAGGCCATTTCTAAAGTGTTCCCAGGTGGTTTGGGTGCTCACCTCTCCTGGCACACTGAACCCCGCCATTGCCCCCCAAGTCTCCAAGCATTCCTGCTACCCATGGTTGATATGTCACAGGAGAAAGCAAGGCACTGACTGGGACACACCTTGGAAACATGTGGAGAGGAGAGCAGAAAGGATTTTAAGCATACACGGCAGCTGGGCCTCACATTGTGATGATCCAAAATTGTATACCTGTTTGTACAGCTTTGGTCTTGGTGGGAAAAACAGAAAATTAAAAAATGTTTTGAGAAGCTGAAATGTGTGTTGTTTTTCTTGTGTTCCTTACTCAGCAAACATTCCCTGAGGGCCTAATGTGTGCCAAATGCTGCTAAGCATAGGGGCAGATACTAGACAATGAGGGAGGGCACTCGTTATCTACCTTTAAGACAGAGTATGGGCACTGGATTCTAACCAAACCCTAATGGATGTGCACTCAGAGCTGAGTTAGAAATCAGGACCGACAGTGGGAATTCAGCAGGCAGCCGAAAGATGGTCTTCCAGAGGGTTCTAGAAGGAATACTGTAAATCTGTGTGCTTCAGAGGCCTGGTTGGAAAGAAGTTGAATCCATGTAGGAGAAAACCGTGGAAACAACAACATCGTAGGAAAGTAGTCTACCCAAGAAGTGGGGGTGGGAGAAGGGAGATGAGGGAACTTCAAGCCGACCCCTTTGGTTTGGAGGCCTCCTCTTAGTGGCCGCAGCTTCCCAGGATAGCTTTGGTACCTTTTCTCCTTCCTTCCACTCTAGGTATAGAACCCTGGGTGGTTACAAGGCTACCAAAAGAGCTAGGGGTGGATTGGTGAATGCTTAAGATAGTTTTATTGGATGTGGAAAGGTTTGGCGTAGAATGCCAAGAACACTGAGAACCAGAAGGAAAATGGCAGATGGTCTGCTGCAGGGGAGCATTTAGGAAAGTAGAATCCCTGCTTTGCTACAATAATGATAGGAATGAAAAATGTCAGTTCTGCACCAAAAAAGTGATGTATGCCTCTCTGTCCAAGACATTCAAGGCACAGATTTCTTTGTAGGATGGCACATCACTCATTTTTTAACAGGTCAAGGACAGCCAGTGTCCTATTCAGTGGATGGTCAAATGGGTGCAGATGGAAGGACTCCATTCATAGAAGCCCAGCCCCTCTCTGGGACCTCATTCTTGCCTGAATGTTTTCTCAGCCTGACCATCATTAATTTATGTTTCAAATAGCTTGGGGAAAAACTGTCAAATACAGCCAAGTTGAATTGGCAACCAAACCCAATGATCTTCCTGTCAAGTCCTATCCATGGATGTCTTAGCACTGCTGCATTCATTCGGTCAAGAAGACGTAATTACCCGTTACAATGATATGGGATTCATGTAGTGGCAAGCAAGAGAAGCAGTCCCTTAGGACATGGAGCTTATACTTCCAGTCTGACAAAGAGTTACCCACCTTCCACCCCGATCTTACCCTCCCCAGAGGTTTTTTTTTTTTTCAATATTTTATTTATCTGACAGAGACACAGCGAGAGAGGGAACACAAGCATGCTTGTGGGAGTGAGAGAGGGAGAAGCAGGCTTCCTGCGGAGCATGGAGCCCAATGTGGGGCTCAATCCCAAGACCCTGGGACCATGACCTGAGCCGAAGGCAGACGCTTAACGACTGAGCCACCCAGGCGCCCCCCGCAGAGTTTTTATTTACCATTCAATCCACCAAAACCACCCTTTCATTTAGAAAGACATCTCCTGGGATTGAGGACTAACATCTTCAGCCTGACACTCTGCTGCTTGCTTCTGAGCTTTGCCTTTCTGGAAGCTCGGGACTGTATCTCACTGTTCACTGGGCCCTCCCTGGCTAGCCAGAGCCTGAAAGTTCCCCCTTTACCATGCGTGGATGGAACAAATGGATTCCTGCCTCCTGGGTTCCATGAACAGCCTGAGGCCATTGCGTTTCAGATTCTCACGCAGGAGCACAGCTGTGGCTGCCTCCCAGCACCGGGACACAGAAATTTCACAGTAAAAAACAGAGGCTATCAGGCTTCAACAAGCCCTAGCAGGTCTCCACGCCACTGGAGGCAAAATGTGATGAGAAGCCCAGCCAAGAGGCTGTCCTTGGAGCGGGAGGTGATAGGAAAACAAGGAGTGTCCCCATCAACCAGACTGTGCTTGAAGAAGCAGAGTTTGTGTGGAAATCCACACACCTGAGAGCAATTGTCTTAATGGGGCAGGGACATAAAGCAAATTGGGCCTAATTTGGAGGGAGGGTAATGAGGTACCCAGAAGAAGAAAACAAAGAAAGACTTGGCTCAGCAAAGGTCTCAGCTCTGTCCTAATTAGGCCTGGTTGTTATAAGAAGTGCATAATTAATAAGCGTGTGACCAGATGTGAAATACAGCAGAGCCTTTTCCTGAAATGGAAGTTGTAATGAAGTGTACACAGCTGGAAGGAGTAGTCCTAATTTGGCTGAGGCGGGCAGCCTGCCTGGAATTTTGAAGAGGTGTAGTAAGCGGCCCACCACGGTTTTACACCTGAAAACAACTAATCCTTTTCCAACAGGGCTGGGCTGTAATGAGATATAGCTAATTATCACGAGTGTAATGAGATGCAAACGCCACTGGAATTGAGCTGGAAATCTCTTTAAAAGGGAACTCAGAGGCAAACACGAGAGAAGACTCTGCTAATGGGACGAGGTGTGAGTCTGAGGAAGGGTGCCTGGCTTGAGGGGTTGCTTCGACAACCCTGCCAAAGACTCGTGTCTGTAATTAAAGATATTGCTGGGACATTCACACACCTGGAGCGGGAGTCCCTGGGAGTCTGGGAATGCAGGGACCTGTAAAAGCTGCACATGTATTCTTTTAAATGTATATACAGCTTATGTGTGTCCACACACACACAAAAAAGATGAGGTTAGGAGCTGTCGGGTGAGTGTAGCTCCCATTATATTCCATTTTTATTTATTTATTTGACAGAGAGAGACACAGTGAGAGAGGGAACACAAGCGGGGGAGTGGGAGAGGGAGAAGCAGGCTTTCCGCGGAGCAGGGAGCCCGATGCGGGGCTCGATCCCAGGACCTGGAATCATGACCTGAGCCGAAGGCAGACGCTTAACGACTGAGCCACCCAGGCGCCCCTATTCCATCCCTTTTAGAAATGTGGCCTCAGATTCCTGCTGCCTTATGCAATACTTTGCATAAGAGGAGAAAAACTGGCCATCTCTTCATCCCAAATGTACTTGCCTACCAGGCTGAGCTTTCTTTCACAAGTGTATTTACTGCAAGCGATCAGGAAAACAGCACCTGGTTTTTGCTATTATTTTTATGATTGCTCTTATGTTATTGTAGATATCACTTACTGAGCACTTACTATGTGTCAGATGCTGTGCTAAATGCTTTACCACATTATCCCAATGAATCCTCAAAAAATCCTATGATACTGTTACCTTTATCGTCCCTACTTTGCAGAAGAAACCAAGGTTCACATTAAGATGTGGCCCAGACAATACCAACGCCAGAGTTCAGGCTTGGCACCCCTCTCTTCTCATCCCTTGGGGCAAAGGAGAGACCCTCACGTGCTATATTTGAGCTCCAAGTGACGTTCTCCCCAGAGGGAGCCACTCCTAGACTGAATTTAAGGCTGCCTTTCCCACTCTTCCTCTGCTGCTCCTCAGCTCCCTATGGCCAATATATCTACAAAATCCTTGAACACAAGAACCTTCGGCCCAGGGGCTGGACCCAGCCAGCTGGAGGCTGACGACCCATAGCTGGACCAAAGGCTGGAGCATTGGGGGGCGGGGACTAAATGCTCAGGTTTTAGAATCTTCTGTAGCTTGGGTGGGGGGATGGGGTAACTGGGTGATGGGCATTAAGGAGGGCACTTGACGTAGTGAGCACTGGGTGTTCTATGCAACTGATGAATCACTAAACTCTACCCCTGAAACTAATAATACACAATATGTTAACTTGAATTTAATAAAATCTTGGAAAAAAAAAAAAAAGAATCCTCTGTACCTTGGCTCAGGATGTCACCTCAGCCTTATAGAAGTGGTTTGCTGTTGTATAAACTATGAAATGCCCTAAGCTTCAGTTTCCTCATCTGTGAAATGGGATAATAATAATAACAATAACAACAATAATAATAATAGCTCCTATCCCACAGTTGCTGTATGGAGTAAACAAGGTGTTCAGCACCTGCCATATAATAAATATGACATCTGCATCATATCTAATAATATTTTGTCTGTTTCTTTGAGGAGCTGTTGACCCAGTATCTAGAAAACCTGCTCTGTGGATGTGGCGTAGGAGCACAACCACCTTGACAGGGCTCCTTGTCAGAAAGCCCTGGGATCTGCCGGGCGGGGCCCCGGATGCTGCTGCTTGTACTTGAAGCCTGAAGCCACCAGACCACAGCAGTTCAAACTCTGTCACCGCATTGTTTGAGCCCCGTCTCCAGCACAGGACACCTGCCCTCCAGGGTCTGCTTCCCTTTTAGCTGGTAATGAGTTGGCATCTCATTGCCTGCCCATGTATCACGCGCATCTCATTAAACTATGAAGGCTCCAGGACCCGTTAGGGACCAGGCCTTAACAGACAGAACGGCCTTCTGCCCGGGGTTTGAGTTTGCTGTTACTCTTCCAGCCTAGGCTGAGCAATGTCAGATCAGGGATCTCTAAAAGAAGTTCATAAATTGATCTAAGAAAGTGAAGTGGAAAAAATGTCTTTTTTTTTTTTTCCTCTAAATCAAATCTGGCTCCGAGCTCCCACTTACTATTCTCAGCAAACGCCTCAACTGCAGTAATTTTTTGTGGTTTCCTGGTAGGGAGGTAGGGAAGAGGCTTCCCTTCCTTTGGGTTGTGTCAACGTTCCGCTGCTAAAGCACGGCGGGAAAATGGCGGTGAAGACAGAATCATCCTCTGTTTCCTCATCACTTCACCACCCCTGCTCCGGATGCCCTCTGCTGCTCCAGATGTGGAAGTCCTGTCTCGTGTCCCCAGGCGTCATCCAGAGGGGGCCTCCTGCCACAGGGTCCAGCCTCCACAGGCATGCCCTACAGTCACCCCCACCCAAGGTCCTGCCTTGCTGGGGGCACTGTGAGCTAGGCGCAGGCCGGAGCTGCCGATCTGTTCCCAGCTTTGGGGACCGACACTCCAGGTGGGTCGGTTCTCCCCTCTTTGCTCCAAATACCGAAGTGTGTTTTCTTTTCCACCACAGGGAGGTCCTAGATCTTTCGAGACAGTAGCCTGCTTAAGGGAGTTTCCCAAATGACTCTCTCCTGTCCCCTCCCTTTCTTC